GGACCTCTCTTTAATGGTCCCAGGACGTGTGCATGCCCCAGTGTAGCCCCTATTGGGAGATGTTGTGATTATCTGGTCTGCTTGTGTCTTCCAGCCTAGACGTGGGATTCTGTGAGAGCTGAATTCAACTCTTGGATGCTCAGCGCCTGGCAAGTTGTCTGCCCCTGAAAGTCATGTTGAGTCGGTGAATGAGGAGCTGCGCTTTGAAGAATGGGCTGGTGTGGACTGGTAGAAAAGGAGAGGTTCTTCAAGGTTTCAGGATGTAAATGCGGGGCAAGGGGGAGGGGGAAGGGGCTGGTGACAGAGTGAACAGCAGCAAGGGTGCCTTTGCCTGAACAGACTCCGGTACCCCAGGCTAGTTCTTTGTCCACAAAGAACTTCAGCGTCTCCAGGGGATCTTTAGCCACATAGATAAGCACTCCACCTTGCCAGGTTCACCTCAAGCCATTTCCAGGAAATCTTCTGAGCTCCCTACTGTCCAGGGACTGCTGCTTGTGCCCCAGACTTCACAAAGGTCAATGACACCATTATAGAAGGAAATCAGACATACCAGAGAAAATACATATGCAATGGCCATGGTCCTATTCCAATAAAGCTTTCTTTACAGAAAAATGGACAATGGGCTAAGTTTGGCCATGGGCTTGGGTGTCTTGTTTTAATGAATTCTTTGAAGTCCCATTAAGAAAAAACCTAATGAAATATGGACTATTTTGCAGGTGTGGAAACAGACCCAGCGCAATAATTAACTTGCTCACAGCACCATAATTAGGAAGGAGCAGACCTGGGATTTGAACCCAGGGAGTATAGATGGTGGTGCCCCCAGCTTCTCAGCCTCTAAGTGACTGTGTGGTCCCTTTCCTTGCCCGTGTTTCCATCAGCCTCTTCTTTAGGAAACTCGTCATTTCCTAGCAGTACCTGCCTCCAAGCTGAGAGTCTAGCGAGGTCATTACTATCGTGTGAATAGCTAGTTAGGTAGTTAACTAACTGGCTCTCTGTGTCCCAGGAAAAATCCTAACTAGATTTGTCTGAGTGCCCTTGGGGGGCTTCATAGACGTTCAGACCCCTCTCTGTGTCCGTGCCTCACTAGCCCCTGCTTAGCATTCACTTGTCTGCCAAGAGGGCTGTCATCTGATGGCCCCTAAAGCTTGAAATCCACCAAAGTAACAGCCAGCAATCACCCATCATACACCAGATACAGTCCTACACCCTCTTCATATAGTATCTCATTTAATTCTCACAGCAAATATGCAAGGTAGTCACTGTTAGCCATTATAAAGATGACAAAACCGGAGGTTCTAAAACACTCCGTAACTCAAAGTCAAGGGGGAGGGGTACAGAGTCAGGATTTGCACCCTGGTTGATGAGCCCCACGATGGAGCCCTGGTAGTGCAGTGGGTTATGCATTGGGCTACAAACCACAAGGTCAGCAGTTGGAAACCTGGAGCCGCTTTGTGGGGCAAAGACAATGCTTTCTACACCCGTGAAGAGTTACAGTCTCAGAAACCCACAGGGGCAGTTGAGTTTGGTCTGTTTTTGACTAGCCCCAGAGCCCACAGTCCATGCCACAGGCAGTGATGTGTAGAAACAGCACCCCCATACTCCACTTACCCTCTCAGAGCTGTATCTTCTAGGTCCTTAGATTTTCATGGGAGTCCTGATAGCCTAGTAAGTTACGCATTGGGCTTTTTACTACATGGACAGCAGTTCAAGTCCACCCACTGCTCCTTGGGAGAAAGATGAGACTTTCTACTCCCATAAAGGTTGCGATGTGTTGGAATTGACTTGATGACAATGAGGTGTGTTTGTTTCGTCACATTTTGAGTCTCACCAAAGCTCCTGAAGGGAGTGTCTCCCCAGATGTCCCACCCCAGCCAATTGGGATGACCCATTGGATCCTTGGATCCCACTGCCTTCTTTGTCCGACCCACAGCCCTGTCAGTCAAGTCCTACATCTGGAAACCCTGGTGATCTGGTGATCTCCTTCCCATACAGCAAGAAACCCCTCCAGGGCAGCCCTCCTCTACAGCTCCTCGCGTCACCAGCACCAGACTCAGCGGGGCAGCTTTCGGTTTGGTTTGCTGGAACCTCTTCACGCGCCAGGCCAGCAAGGCAACCTGAATTTCCTTGTGCTCAGCTAGTATCCCTGCTCCACTGACAACAGCCATCTCCTAGGAGACCTGCTCACTTAGTGAACTGCTACCCCATTCTCTCTCTTTTTTTATTTTTTGCAGGAAGGCTGAATGTTTATTTACTCAAATCTCTGTCTTCACTCTGGTGTTTGCTTATTTGTTTGTTTGTTTTCCTTCCCAAATAGCCGTTATTCAATCAGGAATATCAGCGCTTGCCTTTTGAAGCCAAAATTACATCCTAGGAGCAAGTTTGATTTTGTGCCTCAAGAGACACCCTCGGGAGAGCTGCAGTCAATATTTCATTATATCAGGGGAACGATAGGGACAGGGGCTGAGGGGGGTCCAGTCCCAAAGGATTTCCCTGAAGGTCAACTTCCTCTCTAGGAGAAGTTGGGAACCAAGGTGGGAAACCAATGCAAAGCAATACAAAGCGAGGCAGGATTCTGGGATGAGGCAGAAGAGGAAAACTAGGAAGCTTCTGTCGATGGATTCTGCAGCTCAAACAAGCTTCCCGGCAGCAGGATTGGACAGGCTTTACCTGGTGGGATCTGAGGCCATGGGTGATGATGCTCAGGTGTTTGTAACCAATGACTGATGACAGAAAAGGGAGACACCTGACAGGGTCTAGGCCACAGCTCTGCAGGGGGACAGGGAAGCAGCCACACAGCTGTGCTGACTTGGGGCTGGTCCGCACCTTTCACTGGAGCCTCTGTGTGGTAAAGCATCTGTCCGTTCTTCCCACAACATTTTGCCACCATCAATCTCATCAACTGTTCCTTCCCCAAGCCTCTGCCAAGAAGAAACTCCCTTAGAATCGTTGCGTGAAAAATGAGGCTTGGTTGTTAGTCTGAAGGCTGGCAAATTTCACTGTGTCCCCATAGACACTCCATCAAACACAGCTACAAATCGACTTCCAACACAGGCATAATTGATTGGCTATGCACTTAGGATTTGGAGCTGAGCTCACAGCTCCAACTGGGTTTTACATGTGGTTGTCTTCCCCAGCTTTGGGGCATCCTACCTATGGGTCTCGGTGGAGGCTCCCTCAGTGAGTGACAGCTCCCTGTGGTGGCTGTGTGCTGTAGTCTATTCTGACGCATAGCAACCACATGAGGCAGGAGGACCATCAGCCTTCCTAGGTTGCCATCCTCAACCCTGTTCCCAAGTGGGATTACATTCATGTGCATACCCAAACCGAACTCCCTGCCATCCTTCCTTCTGCCTCAGAACAACCCTATAAGATAGATGAGAGCTGCCCCTTTAGGGCTCTTGAGACTGTAAATCTTTACAGCAACAGACAGCCATCTCTTTCTCCCCTGGAGCAAGTGGTAGGTTTGCACCATCACCTTTCCAGGGAACAGCCCAACATTTAAGCCATTGTGCCATGTGGCAGTTACATCATCTACTGTCAACTTGAGCGAAGGAGTGGAATCTAGCCTGTCAATCAGGTCATAGTCAATGAGGCCTCTGTGTGGGCATGACCTTCTCCTGAAGATTCTGGGAACTCCTGTCTTCCTCCCTGGAAGCGGGACACACTCTCTCTGCTACACATTCCTGATGATAAGCCAGATACAGTTACGCTGATGGAGCCAGAACCCTGGAGCAGTCATGTGGAGACCTATGCCAGCGCTGCGATGCTTCCACCACCCCTAATCACAAGACTTTTCACCCACTGGCCTGTAAACTTCCTGTACTCAGCATCATAGCATGTGCTGCGTGAGTCTGAAGAGGAATTTGTAGAATGGTATCAGACATATGGGCTAATATAGGACTTATGGACTTGATCTGGACTGGGCTGGGATGTTCTCTCAATATACAATTGTTCCTTTATATAAAGCTCTTTCTCATACACATACGAGTATCTATGAATTTGTTTTTCTGGCCAACCTGGACTAACACATGCCACCACGGTGCCTTATTCACAGGTACAGGAGTTAGGAAGTACCCCTGTATTTTGGAGGAGGACACCATTTAATCAACATCACCTACATGCTCATCAACCAAGGACTAGTTAAGGTATAGAGCAAGTGCAAATAATTCCACCTTGAAAATGAGAAAGTTCTTTGTATTCTTTTATGCAGCCATTTGTAATATGTATTGTTAACTCAGGCAGCAAAAAGAGGAAGGCCTTTGATGAGATGGATTGACACTGTAGCTGCGACGCTGGCCTCAAACATACCAATTGTGATGATGAGGCAGGACCAGGGGGTAACGTGAGGTCGCTATGAGTTGCAACTGACTCAGGGGTACCTAACAGCAACCAACCAGTATTAAACCACAAGACCAACTAGTGGACTATTGTGTCTTGTATGCTTTCCTTTGTATGAAGAAAATTATGCGTGTGTGCTTGTATTGTCTACATGTATGTCTTTGTGCAGGTATGCATAGAATTTCTCTGGAAGAGTACACAAGAAAACATGGCTGCCTCTCAGAAGGAAGCCTGGTGGACAGGCGTAAGTAAGCATAAGCTATATATACCTAGTAAATCTTTTGCATTTGGGGCCACATGAATACATTCAACATATGGTTCCAGAGATAGTACTAGTCATTGTAGAGGTAGTAGATAGGCAAAGATCACCCTGCCAGTCCATGCAAGTTGTAAATCTGAGACCCATGAGATGAACAGTGGGGAATTATTATTGCTGGTAGGCACCGTCAAGTTGGTTCCAACTCATAGTGACTCTATGCACAACTGAACAAAACACTGCCGGGTCCTGTGCCATCCTCACAATTGTTCCTGTGCGTTAGCTCACTGCAGTAGCCACTGTGTCCATCCATCTCATTGAAAGCCTTCTTTTTCACTGCCCCTCTGCTTTCCCATGCATGATGTCCTTCTCCAGGGACTGGTCTGTCCTGACAATACATTCAGCGTATACAAGGGGTATCTATCTTACCCTCCTTGACTCCGAGCAGCTCACTGGCCGTACTTCTCCCAAGACAGACTTGCTTGTCCTTTCAATATTCTTACAGTCCATGGTACTGTCAACATTCTTCTCCAGCACCACAATGCAAATGCATCCATTCTTCTTCCGTCTTCCTTATTCAATGTCCCACTTTCACGTGCATACAAGCAATTGAAAGTACCATGGCTGGGTCAGGCTACCTTAGTCCTTAAACTTTAAGGCTAAACGTAACATATTTGCTTTTTAGCACCCTCAAGAGGTCTTGTACAGGAGATGTACCCAATACAATGCATAGGTGGATCTCTTGGCTGCTGCTTCCATAGTATTGATTGTGGATCCATCGATCATGATGTTACCCATTGGTCCAGTTGTACAGATTGTGGTCTTCTTGACACTGAGTTGTGATCCATACTGAAGGCTGCAGGCCTTGGTCTTCATCAGCGAGTGCCTCAAGTCCTCCTCACTTACAGCAAGCAAGGTGGTGTCATCTGCGTATCGCAGGTTGTTAATAAGCCTGCCTCCAATCCGGATGCCACATTCTTCTTCCTAGAATCCAGCTTCTTTGATTATATGAATCATAGGATTGAAAATATGAGCAGTTTATAGGGGGTTTAATGTAGTTAATTGATTGTTGGCAGTACTGCACATCATATTTTCCCTTTCAACCTTTTTTCATATCGAAGATCTCATTTTATTTTTTATAAGAAACTAATGAGGTGAAACCCGTCTGAAACAGTGAAGGCTGTTGACTAGAACAAATGGGTGTGATTTAGGCCTGAACAATCTCTCTGTGCCCAGATGGTTTGAGTCAGCTAGCCTCCATGGCAGTGAGCACCTCAGTGACAGGCCTGGGCTGGAGGCCCAGCCCTGGCTCTCACTTCCTGAATGACAGCAGTCCAGTCATTTGTTCCCCTTCCCGTGACCCTCAGCTCCCTCTTCCGGAAAATTGTGGTCACAGCATGGCCTCTGTCCCCAGGGTTATTGTCAGAGAGAGTAAAGCATTTGGCACAGTTCATGGACTTGGCTATTCTGGGTCAAGGCAATTATAAAACTTTCCTCTTAACATTTGAAGACTTGTTGTGCAGGTAGTATGGGACACGTGAGAGTCTTTAAGGGCAGCCCAGCTTATTATAGTCTTATAGCCTATTTAATAGCCCCTGCTAGCACAGTGGATAAAGCAGTCAGCTGCTAATTAGAAGGTTAGCAGTTTGAACCTACCTGCTGTTCCTTGGGAGAAAGATGAAGCAGCCTGTTTCTATAAAGATGTTAGCTGTAGACACCCCCTGGGGCAGTTCTATTCAGTTCACCATGAATTAGAATAGACTCGATTGGTTTGAATATTTTGTTTTCTCCTTAAAATATAATGAAACAAAACACGAAATGCTGTGCTGTGTACCAGCAGAAAGAAAACAAAAAACACACACTCACTGCCATCGAGTCGATTCTGATTCCCAGTGACCCACAGGAGAGGACAGAACTGCTCCTGTGGGTTTCTGAGACCGCGACTCTGACAGGAATAGGAAGCCTCTCTTTCTCCTGGTGGTTTCGAAGTGCTGACCTTTCAGTTAGCAGCTCAACACGTAACCACTGCACCACATTCAGCACGAGATTATTTGGGAAGCATCAGGTCAGACCAAATCAATCACCCAGTGGCAACATTTCTTCCTTTCACATTTTCTTCACCTTTTCTATGCCAAGGCAAAAGTCCCAACTAGTGCTGTTGTCTTTAACACCTTTCTAACATTTGCCACTCTCTCTTTAGAGCAAAGGGAGAAACAGAATCAGTTGATTGTTGCTTTTTATTACAGGCCAACCATACTGGTTTTCCTTTTAAAATAGATTTCTACAAATCAAAGTGAATGAAAACAACAAGTCAACTCGATATTTGAGATGTCGTCAATTAATACAGCCTTCCCAGTGGCATGGTGAGTTGCTCACTGAAAGGTCAGCGGTTAGAAGCCACCAGCTGCCCCTTGAGAGAAAGATGAGACCTTTCTGGAAATAGTTACAGTCTCGGCAACTCACAGGGTCAGTTCTACCCTGTCCTACAGGGTCCCCACGAGTCAGAGTTGACCGAATGGCAGTGAGCTTGGTCTGGTTTTCCAGCTACAATTCCTTATGTTTTGCCATTCTGGATGCTATGCCTATGGCTAGAATCCCATTTTGGAGAAGCATCTCTGCTAAGCTAATGGACAGGATCAAGGTAGGATTAGGTCCGGACCTTAGTAGAAAGTGGGGACTAAGTCACATCCTTTGTTTCCTTGGGGATATGTCTTGGCTAAAAGACAAAAAGCATATGTCCATCAAAGCCATTCCTCTGTGTGTAAGAGCCATCTTGGACACAGAGAGAAATCCCAGCACCACTGGAAGTGCATGTTCGAGATCTCTGTCGGACGTGGTGGCAATCAAGAACAGAGGCATCAGAGATTGTGGCATGGCGACTATGGGGACAGGAGCCAGGCCAAGACTAGAGGCCGAGAAAAGGATGCCATGAGACAGAAGAGAGGAGTGGTGCTGAGACTGTGGCTCTGGGAGGGAGAGCAGCAGGTGGGTTTCCTGACCCACAGAAGTAGGGGCCAAGGGCTGGGAGGTTGAGTACCGAAGAGAGAGTTGGCTGCTGGCTGAGCAGAGGTGCTGCTGTGGACCAGTGACTGTAACCCCCGGGGCAGTTCTAGTCAGTTCACAATGAATTTGGAATAGACCCCATGGCAACAGATTTGCTTTATTTTTTGATATTTTGTTTAAAATCTAACTAAACAAACCACGACAGGGCTGTGTACCATGAAATCCAAAACCAAAACTCACTGCCATCGATTCCGACACAGTGACCCTTTAGGACAGGGTAGGACTGCTCCGGTGGGTTTCTGAGACTGCAACTTGACAGGAGTTTGATTGTTTATCGATCCTGATATGGTAACCTATTAACTTCTCTAATAAACCCCTGACATTGTGAGTCTTGTCTGAGTTCAGCAATGAATTACTGAGCCCAGCATAGAAGGAGCGAGCATAGCATGAGAGAAACAGTTGGTTTCCATGTAGGTAAAGAAGGAGGGGGTGTGGAAGCATGCCTGACCGCTGCCTCGTGGCAATAGGGAAGCAAGAGGAGGTGGGATATGACCTTTGCACTGTTTACTGCGGTGTTGGTTTTCCTTGGGTAGGAAAAACATCAAGAAAGTGGGACCCAATTAGCAGAAATGAAGAATCTGGGATTCCAAGGTGCTGAACTCATTTTGAGTTGGTGGTGGTGGTGGTGGTGGTGATTGTGGGTGTGGTACTAACATAGTCTGTTGTCAGTTTGAGACTTAAGAGAGAAGGGGTGGGATGAAACCTGGCAATCAGGTCG